ATTGAACCCAGGGCCTCAGGCATGCAAGGCAAGCACTCTACTACTGAGCCACCTTCCCAGCCCCGATCTTTTAATTTTTAGCAAAGTTTTTTTTGTTATGGTTGTTTGTTTGTTTGTTTTTCAGGTATGGGGCTTGAACTCTGAGCCTGGTTCTTCAGCTCATGGCGAGCACTCTACCACTTGAGCCACAGTGCCACTTCTTGTTTTCTGGTGGTTAATGGGAGATAAGAGTCTCACGGGGGCTGGGAAGATGGCTCAGTGGTAACATGCTTTCTTTGCATGCATGAGGCCCTGGGTTCGATTCCTCAGCACCACATAAGCAAAAAGAAAAAAGCCAGAAGTGGCCCTGTGGTTCAAGTGGTAGAGCACTAGCCTTGAGCTCAAGAGTTGAGGGACAGCACCGAGGCCCAGAGTTCAAATTCCACGACCAGCAAAATTACAGGCATGAGCCACGGACACCTGCTTCAAGGTTTTATTTTTAGGATAACAGAAAAAGAGAGACACGCATTTCCCTGAGAAGGAAGTGAGGGTTCGAGACTGCATGGGCTCTGCAAACGGGAGAGAGACCTTGTCTGTTTCCTCAGCACAGGCTGACCCAGCCAGCTGGCTTTCTTCACACCCTGCTTCTCAGTACTGGCTCCGATCCTTTAACAAGCTGGGTTTTTTTTCCCCTTCACAGAAAATACTGGCCTTTAGTTTGTGTTCCTTGGTGTTTTATCAAGTGATCCTAATGTGGTGCTTTGTCAACTGCAGCCAGGGTTCATGGAGGCAATTTCCTATCTGCCAGACCGGCCACCCCACATCCCCCAGCAGGCTACACTCTGCCCGCTTGCCCCGGTGTGTTGGCGCCACCTAGTGCTGCTCAGAGGACACTGCAGCCACTGGCCAGGCTTTCATTGAGCCATGAAAAAAAAATAAACGATCTCTTCTCTCTCTCCCTCTCCTACTCCCTCCCTTTCTCCAGCCCTGACGCTTGAACTCTGAGCCTGGGCACTGACCCTGAGCTACTTTTGCTCAAGGCTAGCACTCTACCACTTGAGCCACAGCGCCACTTCCAGCTTTTTACCAAAGAATCGAACCCAGGGCTTCGGGCATGCTAGGGAAACACTCTATCACTGAGCCACATCCCCAGCCCAGAACCTCTTATTTTTATTTTTATTTTTTTGTCAGTTGTGGGGCCTGAACTCTGGGCTTGGGCACTGTCCCTCAGCTCTTCAGCTGAAGGCTAGTGCTCTTATCACTGAGCCACAGTGCCACTTCTAGCTTTTTCTACTTATGTGCTGCTGAGGAATCGAACCCAGGGCCTCATGCATATAAGGCAAGCACTCTATCATTGAGCCACCTTCCCAGCCCAAGAATCTCTTATTTTGATCATCACAATCCACAAAGATTCCAATCTAACACAAATGTCTCCGCCCAAAACATCAGGGGTCGGTGGCTCATGTCTGTCATCCTAGTCACTCAGGAGGCTAGATATGAGGATCTTGGTTCAAACCCAGCCTGGGCAGGTAAGTCCCTGAGACTCTTATCTCCAGTGAGCCACCCAAACAGTCAGAAGTGGAGCTGTTATGGCTCAGATGGTAGAGCACTAGCCTTGAGGGGGAAAAAAAAAATCTCAGGGACAGTGCCCAGGCCCTGATAAAACCCCAAGATGGACCCGAAAACAAAACAGCAAAAAGCAAGCAAACAAGAGAGGCTATTTGTGGGTGGCGGGGAGCAGGTCTCCAACGGTGATTTCTCAATTCTCCACTTCCCTTTCCGCTGTGAAAGCCATCAGAGGGCGGGACAGGCAGGGGTTGGGGGGACTGGGCTGCGGGGACCCAGAAATCCTGGCTGGCTTGAGGCCTTGGCCATGGCGGGGGACACACCTGCCCTGCCTGCAGCCAGGGCTGAAGCCTCCCCACCTCCCACCATGCCGATCGGAGCCGGAGAGGACCTCTGCCGCTTGTCTGCCTACCTAGAGGAGCTGGAGGCCGCCGAACTGAAGAAGTTCAAGTTCTACCTGGGCTCTGGGCAGAAGGGGAGCCACGCCGCCATCCCCTGGGGGCGGATGGAGGCGGCAGGGCCCCTGGAGATGGCCCAGCTGCTCGTGGCCCATCTGGGGACCAGGAATGCCTGGCTGTTGGCTCTGAGCACCTTTGAGCGGATCCACAGGCGGGATCTGTGGGAGAGAGGACAGAGAGAGGATGCAGCTAGGGGTAAGGAGGGGGGGATGTGTCACCATTTCCCTCTGGGGATTTCCTCTGGCGCCCTGAAAACCCTTCTCCTCCATCTCCTTGGCCTGGAAAGTTCTTTTTTTTCTTCTTCTTCTTCCTTTCTAGCACTAGTACGAATTGAACTCAGGGCCTCCCAATTGCTAGGCAGGCCCTCTACCACTTTAGCCACACCTCCGGCCTCGCTTTTTTTTTTTTTTTCTCTCTGTGTTGAAGTTGGTTATTTTCTTTCCTTTTTCTTTCTTTCTTTTTTTTTTTTCTTTTTTTTGTACTGGTACTAGAGCTTAAACTTAGTACCTCACTCTCTGGCTTAGGTCGTGGGGCTTGAACTCTGGGCCTGGGCTCTGTCCCTCAGCTCTTCAGCTCAAAGCGAGCGCTCTACCACTTGAGCCACAGCACCACTTCCAGTTTTCTTTTTTTTCTTTTTTTTTTGGGGGGGATCCAGTCGTGGGGCCTGAACTCTGGGCCTGGACGCTGTCCCTCAGCTCAAGGATAATGCTCTACCACTTGAGCCACAGCGCCACTTCCGGCTTTTTTCTTCTTGCTTATGTGGTGCTGAGGAATCGAACCCAGGGCCTCATGCATGCAAGGCAAGCGCTCTACCACTGAGCCACCTTCTCAGCCCCACCACTTCCAGTTTTCTGAGTGGTTTATTGGAGATGAGAGTCTCATAGATTTCCCTGCCCAGCCTAGCTTTGAATCATGAGCCTCAGATCTCAGCCTCCTGAGTAGCTAGGATGACCAGTGTGAGCCACCGGTGCCCTGTTTAATTACACTTTTTATGACTTACTCCTATGCTCATCAATTCTAGAGATTTGCAAATGGCTCAGGCCCTACTTTTCTCCTCTTGGCAGAAGCCTGACACCCACTAGACCACTCCCCATGCCGGGCAGGCAGCGGAGGCTGGCGTGGACCAGTGCTTCTGAGCCAGTACTCATTCCTTTCACTTCAAGCAGGCCAGAGAGTGCTGGTGTACCAGGCTCATGCCTGGAGCCCCAGCTACCCAGGGAGCTGAGAACTGCAAATCAAAGCCCAGACCTTGGGGTGGTGGCGGGCAGGCGGTGGGAAGGCATTCTCGCCCTCCTGCCCTGGCTAATATGGCTGACGGCTCTCCAGAGGCTGCCTGCTGAGTGTCCAATTTCTCTTCCAGTTACTCCACTTGGACCAGGCCTGCTGGGGAGTCAGTCGGCGTTCTCTCCGGAAACCTGTCCTGGCCCTCCAAGGAAAGGTGAGCCCTGAGCCGTGTGCCCACGGAACAATGCAGGGTGGGAACCCCCCAAAAAGAGCGAGTGATGAGGTTAATCTGACTAAATCATAGCACGTGCATGTGTGAATGATCATGGCGAGGACCCCTTGTGCAGCTGGTGCATATACACTTAAACACTTAACGAATGAAAAGGCCAGGCGCTGGTGGCTCACGCCTGTCATCCTATCTACTCGGGAGGCTGAGGTCTGAGGATCAGGGGAAGGAAAGTCCGTGAGCCTCTGATCTTGAAGGAACCACCAAAAAAGCCAGAAGTGGAGCTGTGGTTCAAGTGGTAGAATGCTAGTCTTGAGAAAAAAAAAAAGCTAAGCAAGCCGGGCATTGGTGGCTCATGTCTGTAACCCTAGCTACTTAGGAGGCTGAGATCTGAGGATGGCAATTTGCACCTAGTCTGGGCAGAAAAGTTCCCATGAAGACTCTTATCTCCAATAAACTAGTCAAAAAAGCCGGAAGTGGAGCTGTGGCTCAAGTAGTAGAGCGCTTGCCTTGAGCACAAAGAGGCCCAGGGATGGTACCCAGGCCCTGAGTTCAAGCCATACCAATGCAAAAAGTAAAAGAGTGAGGTCTTGAGTTCAAGTCCCAATATTGAAGCGTGCATATTGGCATGTGTACGTGCCTGTGCACACACACACACACATTTATCCCTAGTACTGGCAAAAAAAGATCTAAATAAAGAGGATCAGAGGAGAAGGCTTCCTTCTGAGGGCCCTGGAGAGCCACTCCCCCTCAGGGTTCTCAGACTGCCCTGGTCACACAGTCCTGGTGGCGTCAACCACGGCTTGTGCTCACTAATGTTTGTGGTGCATCGGCAGGGCCCGGGGAGTACTACCGGGAGCATGTGCGCAGGAGGTTCGGGCTGATGGAGGACCGCAATGCGCGTCTCGGGGAGTGCGTGCACCTGAGCCACCGCTACACTCGGCTGCTGGTGGTGAAGGAACACTCGAACCCCACACGGACCCGGCAGAAGCTTCTGGATACCAGCTGGGGGCCCCCGGGGTCCACAAGCCTCCAGGCCAGCCTCATCCAGATGGAGACCCTGTTCGAGCCGGATGAAGAGCGGCCCGAGCCACCCCGCACCGTGGTCCTGCAGGGCGCAGCGGGCATCGGCAAGTCCATGCTGGTCCACAAGCTCATGCTTGACTGGGCGGCCGGGGATCTCTTCCAGGACAGGTTCGCCTATGTCTTCTACATCAACTGCCGGGAGATGAACTGCGGTGATGTCCACTACAGCACACGGGACCTCATCTCTGACTGCTGGCCTGAGCCCGTTGCACCCCTCCAGGAGCTCCTCAGGGCTCCCCAAGCCCTGCTTTTCATCCTCGATGGCTTTGATGAGCTGAAGCCTTCTGCCCACGACCCTGGGGAACCCTGGTGCTCCGGTTGGGAGGAAAAGCGACCCCCGAGGCTCCTCTTACACAGCCTGATCCGGAAGAAGCTGCTTCCAGAAGTTTCCTTGCTGATCACCACGCGGCCCTCAGCTCTGGAGACCCTGCAGCCTCTGCTGGAACACCCCCGGCACGTGGAGATCCTGGGCTTCTCTGAGGCCCAGCGGGAGGAGTACTTTTCCAGATTCTTCCCCGATGCCCGGCAGGCGCAGCAGGCCTTCGGCCTGGTGCGGGATAATGAGCCGCTCTTCGCCGCATGCTTCGTGCCGCTCGTGTGCTGGGTGGTGTGCACCTGCCTGCGGCAGCAGCTGGAGGCCGGAGGGCTCCTGAGACAGACATCACGCACCACCACAGCTGTCTACCTGCTCTACCTCCTCAGCCTGGTGCCGGGGACCCCCACGCACCAGGGCCCCCGCAGCCACCCAGGGCTCTGCTCCCTGGCTGCCCATGGCCTATGGAACCGGAAGGTTCTGTTCCTGGAGGAAGAGCTCCTGCCCCACGGCCTGGAGGGTGCCGATGTCTCCGCCTTCCTCAACACGCACATCTTCCAGAAAGACATCGGCCGCGAGAAGTTCTACAGCTTCACCCACCTGAGCTTCCAGGAGTTTTTTGGGGCCCTGTTCTACATCCTCGACGGGGTGGGCCCCGAGCGCGCAGTGACGCAGCTGCTGGCTGAATATGGCTTCTCAGAGCGGAGCTTCTGGGCTGTCACCGTCCGCTTCCTCTTTGGGCTCCTCAATGAGGAGCTGAGGAACTTTCTGGAGAGGCACCTGGGCTGGAAGACATCACCGCATATCAAGGCCCAGGTACTGGAGTGGCTGGTGAGCCAGGCCCGCAGCCAGGGCCCCAGGCTGCAGCACGGCGCCCTGGAGCTGCTAAGCTGTCTGTACGAGATCCAGGAGGAGGCCTTCGTCCGCCGGGCCCTGCACCATGTCCAGGTGCTCCACGTCAGCCACGTGGCCACAGCCATGGAGCACGTGATCTGCTCTTTCTGTGCCAGGCACTGCGAGAACGCCGAGGTGCTACACCTGCAGGGTGCGGCCTCCACCGAGGCTGGGGACCAGGACCTCAGGACCGGGCCTGCCGGAGGCCCCATACCGTCCACGCAGCCGTAAGAACCCCAGGGTCAGCCCTCTGAGCCCCTAGTGTTAACCAGGGCTTGGGTCTGGGTCTTGAACTCAGGGCCTGGGCATTGTCCCTGAGCTTTTTGCTCAAGGCTAGCATTCTACCACTTGAGCCACAGTGCCACTTCCAGCTTTTGGTGGCTCATTGGAGATAAGAGTCTCATGGACTTTCCTTCCCTGGCTGGCTTTGAACCGTGATCCTTAGATCTTAGCCTCTTGAATAGCTAGGATTAGAGGCGTGAACCACCGGCATCTACTTCAAACCCAGGCTTGGTGCTGGCTGGGCAGGTGCTCAACGGGATGACATGAGTGCCATCTAGTGGGCAGAAGGGACAAGTGCATGCTACTGCTGCTGCTCCTGGCTGTAACCCCAGCTACTCGGGAGACTGCCACCTGAGAATTGAGGTTCAAAACCAGCCCAGGCAGGAAAGCCCACGAGACTCTTATATCTCCAAGTAACCGCCAAAAAGTTCAGCGCCATGACTCAAGGGGTAGAGTATTCGCCTTGAGCAACAAATTTATATATAGATATAGATATAGATATATAGATATAGATATATATGGCTTGGAAGGTGGCTCAGTGGTAGAGTGCTTGCTTTGCCTGCATGAGGCCTTGAGTTCGATTCCTCAGCACCACATAAGCAAAAAGAAAAAAAAAACTGGAAGTGAGCTGTGGCTCAAGTGGTAGAGCACTCGCCTTGAGATGAAGAGCTGAGGGACAGTGCCCAGGCCCAGAGTTCAGGCCCCACGACTGGACCCCCCCAAAAAAATATATACAAATATATGTATATATTATGGGACAGCGCCAGGCCATGGTGGCTATCACATGCGCGCGTGCACACACACACACACACACACACACACACACAAAAGTGGCAGAGAAGCTTTACACTCAGCCCGGCTTTCCCAGAGAATTTTAATTACAGTCATCCGATTGCTCTCTGATAAGAAAAGCCCAGATAGAGAGCTCTGCTGCTCTACATCACAGGCCCAGAATCCCTTATCATCTCAGTCCTTATCTGAAAGTTTGGGACCCTAAATGTTCCAAATTCCTGACTTAAAAAAAAAATGATTTTGGTGAGAGAAGAAATCCTCAGCCGTGGGAGCCAAGTCTGAACCTGAAATTTCCTTCTTCCCAGGCGTTTTACAAGCGAGTTTCCCACGCTACTTCCTGTTTGTTTCTTCGGGTCCCTGCCTGGGGAGAGCGGTGGGGGGGTGTCTGTGCTATACCCGTGGAACCCCAATCTTCATCATCTTTTGTGTGGTTGCTTCAGTGTTGGGGTTAATCAACTCGAGTGTGTCCAGGAGGTGAAATCCACCTCTGATGCCCGATCTGTAGATCTGCATCCCCTCTTCCTACTCTGGGAACTCTGCCATTCGGTCCTGTGGGCAGTCCAAGATGCCAGCCAGGCATGGCAAAGAAGGCTTTAACCCCATCCAGGGAGGCTGGGGAGGAGGATTGGAGAGTTTGAGGTCTAGCAAGAGATGGTCTCAAAATCAATTCTAGGTCAGGTGCTGGTGACTCATGCCTGTAATCCCAGCCACTCAGAAGGTGGAGATCTGAGGAACATGGTTCAAAGCCAGCCTGGGTAGAAAAGTCAGTGTGACTTTTTTTTTTTTGTGGGTCCTGGGGCTTGAATTCAGGGCCTGGGCACTATCCCTGAGCCTTTCTCTGTTCAAGGCTCTACCACTTGAGCCACAGCGCCACTTCTGTTTTCTGTTTGTTTGTTTTTTCTGTGTATGTGGTGCTAAGGAATTGAACCCAGGGTTTCATGCATACTAGGCAAGTACTCTACCACTGAGCCACCTTCCCAGCCCAAGTCCGTGTGACTTTTTTCTCCATACTAGCAAAAAGCTAGAAGTAGAGTTATGACTCAAGTGGCAGGCCCTGAGCTCAAGCCCCAGGACTGTGTGAGCACACATGCACACGCACACACACACACACACATCCACACACACTACTGAGAAGTGCTTGTAGTAGAACTAGCTGTCAGCCTGTGTCCTTCATGCAGACCCGAGAGGAACCTGCTGCCCAGCGCCTACAGCGAGCACCTGGCTGCTGCTCTGGGCAACAACCCTGGCCTGGTGGAGCTGGCGCTGTGCCGCAGTGCCCTGGGGACACGCGGGGTGCGGCTACTGTGCCAGGGCCTCACACACCCCAGCTGCAGGCTCCAGAACCTCAGGTGAGGCCCAACTGGCCTGCCTTCCCTCCCAGCCTTCTTTCCCTCTCTCCCTCCTTCCCTCCCCCCTCTTTCCCTTCCACCTACCCTTCCTTCCTCCCATCTTCCCTCTCTCCCTTCCTTTCTCTTACTCCTTTTCTTCCTTTTGTTTTTTGTCAGTCTTGGGGCTTGAACTCAGGGCCGGGGTGCTGTCCCTGAGCTTTTTTTGCTCAGGGCTGTTGCTCTACCACTTGAGCCACAGTTCTGCCTCTGGCTAGTTAGGTGGAGATGAAAGTCTCTTGAACTTTTCTGCCCAGGCTGGCTTTGAGCCATGATCCCCAAATTTCAGCCTCCTGGGAGCAGGATGACAGGCCTCTCCCGGGCTGAGACTACAGGCTTGTACCTTACTGCCTCCCCACTCCCTCCCCTGTTCCTCAGTTTCTACCAGCTTCAGTCATGACTTCTTTGTGGGACTGTGGATCTCAACAGCAGGGCTGACTTTCTCACCAGTCTGAGACCTGGAGTCCAGAGGGAGGCCTGGCTCTCACCTGGCACCGCCTCTGCCTCCTCCCCTGGGCTTGGGCTCTGTGTGTGGCTTTGGGGGGCACACGTTTCAGACCACAGTGCCAGGTGCCGGTGGCTCCTACCTGTCACATCTGAAGACAGCAGTTGGAAGCTAGCCTGGGTAGGAAAGTCTGTGAGACTCTGTTGTTGTTGTTGTTGTCATCGGTCATGGGGCTTGAACTCTGGGCCTGGGTGCTGTCCCTCAGCTCTTCAGCTCAAGGCGAGTGCTCTACCACTTAAGCCACAGCACCACCTCTGGTTTTCTGGTGGTTCATTGGAGATGAGTCTCACAGACTTTCTTGCCCTGGCTGGCTTTGAACTATGATCCTCAGATCTCAGCCTCCTGAGTAGCTAGGCAGACAGGCATAAGGCCCCCAATGCCTGGCTTTTTAATTTTCAATAAAGAAAAATACAGGTCATCTTAAAAAAAAAATAAAGGAGAGAAAAGTTTAAAAAAAAAAAGCCTTATGCCTGTCATCCTAGCTACTCAGGAGGCTGAGGTCTATGGATCATGGTTCAAAGCCAACCTGGGCAAGAAAGTCCGTGAGACTCTCATCTCCAATAAACCACCAGAAAACAGGAAGTGGCGCTGTGGCTCAAGTGGTAGAGCGCTGGCCTTGAGCAATAGCTCAGAGACAGCACCCAGGCCCAGAGTTCAAGCCCCAGGACTAACAACAACAACCACCATCACCAAAAAAAGAGAACTCACCAAACTGCCATAGTAGACAGGATTGGTTCTTCTTCCTCCTCCCCTGCCGCCTGCAGGCTGAAGAGGTGCCACGTCCCGGGTGCTGCCTGCAGGTACCTGGCTGCTGCCCTGACCTCCAACCAGCACCTGCTGCGCCTGGACCTGAGCGGGAACGGGCTGGGCTCCGAGGGCCTGGCGCTGCTCGGTCGCGGGCTCCGGCACCCCCGCTGCCGGCTGCAGATGCTCCAGTGCGTGCACCCCACCCACACCCCTGCAAGCCGGTGCTTTGCATTCTTCCCCTTTCCCCCAACCCCCTCCCCCATTTGTGTGTGTTTTTTAGTGCCAGTCCTGGGGCTTGAACTCACAGCCTGGGTGCTGACCCTGGGCTTTTCCCCTCAAGGGTGGTGGTGCTCTACAACTTGAGTCATAGCTCCACTTGCAGCTTTTTGGTGGTTCATTGGAGGGAGGCAAGAGTCTGGAGCATTTGCCTGGCCAGCTAGCTTTGAACCCGGATCCTCAGATCTCAGCCTCCTGAGTAGCTGGGATGACAGGCGTGAGCCACCATGCCCAGCTTGAATGTGGGTCCCTTTGAGGAGACAGAACCCCCCCCAGCGCCACCCCCATCCCAGCTACCAGTGGGTGTGGTGGGGCCAAGCAGCCACTGCAGAGGGGCCACACGGTACCTCCTTACCCCTGTCCTCCCAGGCTCAGGAAGTGTCTGCTGGACGCCGAGGCTGGTAGGGAGTTGGCTGCGGTGCTCAGTGCCAACCGGCACCTGCTGGAGCTGGACCTGACTGGGAACCTGCTGCAGGATATAGGCCTGGAGCGGCTCTGCGAGGGCCTGAAGCACCCTGGCTGCCCACTGCAGATGCTGTGGTGAGATCTCGCGAGAGCTCAAGGCACATGCCCCTGCAAAGCTCGTGTGGCTGGTGCTCCGCTGTCTGAGTCATCCTTTCTGCTTTGCTTTTTGCTGGCTAATTGGTCAGGGAGTCTCTTCTATGTGGAATAGCTTATTATTATTATTATATTTATTATTATTATTGTACTGGTCCTGGAGCTGTCCTGAGCTTTGTTTGTTTGTTTGTTTCTTTTTTGCCAGTCCTGGGGCTTGAACTCAGGGTCTGGGCACTGTCCCTCAGCTCTTCAGCTCAAGGCCAGTGCTCTACCACTTGAGTTACAGCACCACTTCTGGTTTTCTTGTGGTTTATTGGAGATAAGAGTCTCATAGACTTTCCTACCCGGGCTGGCTTTGAACCGCAATCCTCAGATCTCAGCCTCCTGAGTAGCTATGATGACAGGCGTGAGCCACCGGTGCCCGGCTTCCAGCTTTTTCTTATACGTGGTACTGAGGAATCGAACCCAGGGCCTCATGCATGTGAGGCAAGCATTCTACCACTGAGCCAACTTCCCAGCCCTCCCTGAGCTTTTTGTGCTCAAGTCTGGTACTCTACCACTTGAGCCACAGCGCCACTTCTGGTTTTCTGAGTGGTTAATTGGAGATAAGAGTCTCACAAACTTGGGGCTGGGAAGGTGGCTCAGTGATAGAGTGCTTGCCTCACATGCATGAGGCCCTAGGTTCGATTCCTCAGCATCACATAAGCAGAAAAAAACTGTAAGTGGTGCAGTGGCTCAAGTGGTAGAGCGCTAGCCTTGAGCTGAAGCGCTGAGGGACAGCGCCCAGGCTCAGAGTTCAGAACCCATGACTGGACCCCCCCCCCAAAAAAAAAAAAGTCTCATGAACTTTCCTGCCCAGGCTGGCTTTGAACCAAGATCCTCCGATCTCCGCCGCCTCCTGAATGGCTGGGATGATGGGCGTGAGCTGCCATGCCCGGCTCATCCATCCCGCTGTGCCATTCACGTTCCCCTTGCACAGGTTGAAGATCTGCCACCTCACAGCTGCTGCCTGCGTTCACCTGGCTGCGGCCCTCGGCGCCGGTGCTGCGCTGATGGAGCTCGACCTCAGCCTCAACGACCTGGGCGACCAGGGCCCACTGCTGCTATCCGAGGGCCTGGCGCACCCCGCCTGCAAGCTGCAGACCCTCCGGTGAGGGGGCTCATCCCACGCTGTCTGCACCCCCCAAGCCCTAGCTATACCCTCCTGCTTCCGGGAGCCCTTCTGCTGTGTTGTCTCTACTATACCAAGAGAATCCTGTGTTCAAACCCAATGGGAGCCACCTACACACCCTCTCAAATCAAATCAAAAATGGCCAGGCACCCGTGGCTCACACCTGTAATCCCAGCCGCTCAGGAAGCTGAGATCTGAGGCTTGCCATCCAAAGCCAGCAGGAAAGTCTGTGAGATGTTTTCTTTTTTGGTCAGTTGTAGGGTTTGAACTCAGATCCTGGGCACTGTCCCGAGCTTCCTTGTGCTTAAGACTAATAATGCTCTACCATAGCACCACTTCTGGGTTTTGAGTGGTTAATTGAGTTAAGAGTCTCACAGGGACTTTTTGTAAGGTTTTGGGTGAGAAAAGTACCACGCAGAGAGGAATAAAAAGATTGACTGGAAAGTTTATTGGGGGTACGCTCCCTGGCAAACTCCCTGGTTGGGATCAGAGAGGTTGCGCTGAGTTTGGTTGCAGCCAAGCTTTTATGGGGGGGGTAAAAGCAGAACTTGTGGTGAGCAAGGACTTGTGGCACACAGCTTGTTTTGCCCATTTGAAGGGTTTTAGGCCAGTGCACTCCAAGAATGGTTGACTCAGATTGTGTTTTTGATGGGGAAGTGGGCTTTCCCTGTTTTTTCCAGTGGCCTGATATTTTTCCCCACTGCCTACTTCCTCTAGTGGCCTAACGCTTTTCTTTTCTTTCCTCTTCCCTTCCCTTCCCTTTCCTCCCCTTCCCCTCCCTCCCCTCCCCCTCCCTCCCTTCCTCCCTACCTCTCTTTCTCTCTCTCTCTCTCTTTCTTTCTTTTTTGTCAGTTATGGAGTTTGAACTCTGGGCCTGGGTTCCCCCTCCCCAGGGTGCCCCCTCCCTCCATGAACTCTTCAGCTCAAGGCCAGTGCTCTACCATTTGAGCCACAGTGCCACTTTTGGTTTTCTGGTAGTTCATTGAAGAGTCTCAAGAACATTCCTGCCCGGGCTGGCTTTGAACTGCGATCTTCAGATCTCAGCCTCCTGAGTAGGTAGACAAGTCCTTGAAACTTTTTTTTTTTTTTTTTCGGTCGTGGGGCTTGAACTCTGGGCCTGGGCGCTGTCCCTCAGCTCTTCAGCTCAAGGCGAGCGCTCTACCACTTGAGCTACAGCGCCACTTCCGGTTTTCTGGTGGTTTATTGGAGATAGGAGTCTCACGGTCTTTCCTGCCTGGGCTGGCTTTGAACTGCGATCCTCAGATCTCAGCCTCCTGAGTAGCTAGGATTACAGGCGTGAGCCACCAGCGCCCGGCAAGTCCTTGAAACTTTTATCACCAATAAACTACTCAGAAAAACCCAGAAGTGGAACTATGGCTCAAGTGGTAGAGCGCCAGTGTTGAGCCAGAGTTGAGCAAAAGAAGTTTAGGGACAGTACCCAGACCCTGAGTTCAAGTCCCATAACTGGCACACACACACACACACATACACTGAATCCCCTGCCCACCAGCCACAGCCTGACACACTTGCTACAGCAACTCCAGGCAACCAGAATGTTCTAGTACGTTCCATAGACACCAGATATGCATTTCTACCCAGGGCTTGTTTTCTCCACATCCTTGCTTTCCTCCTGGTATACCCCCTCCCTGCCTCTCTTTCCTCTATTCCGGGGAGGTGTGTGTGTGTGTTTGGGGGGGGCGGTGCTCCAGACCGCCATCCCCAGGCCCAGCCCTGTCCCCCTCACCCCAACCCCGTTCCCTTCTCTAGGCTGGGCATCTGCAGGCTGGGCCCGGCCGCCTGTGGGGCCCTGTCACATGCACTGCAGCTCAACAGCAGCCTTCGGGACCTGGACCTGAGCTTCAACGATGTGGGGGATGCGGGGGTACAGCAGCTGGGGGAGGGGCTGCAGCACCCCACGTGCAGGCTGCAGAAGCTGTGGTGAGTGTGGGGATGGGGGACTGGGGGAGGGTGGGCATGGGAACACCACCTCCTCGTCCTTTGCTTTCTTTTTCTTTTTGTTTGTTGTGGGACTTGAACTCAGGGCCTGAGCACTGTCCCTCAGCTCTTCAGTTTAAAGCGAGTGTTCTACCACTTGAACCACGGCGCCACTTCAATATGGGTTTTTTTTTTTGGTGGTTCATTGGAGATAAGAGTCTCCATCCTCAGCTCTCAGTCTCCTGAGTAGCTAGGATTACAGGTGTGAGGCACTGGTGTCCAGCTTTGCTTTCTTTTTTCATCTCCAATTGAGCAAAAAAAAACAAAAACAAAAACAAATCCAGAAGTTGCTGTGGCTCAAGTGGTAGAGCTCCAGCCCTGCGTGAAGAAGCTAAGGGCCGGTGCCAAGGCCCTGAGTTGGAGTCCCAGGCCCGCAACCCTGCCTCTCCCCTGGTAAATATGTTGAATGCCTGCTGTGATCAGACCCCTTCCCCCGGCTGGCTCTCAACAGCTTCCTCTTCATTCTTCTGTGAAAACTTCACCTCTAAACCGGTGCCAGCCACCATGCCTGTAATCCCTGCTCCGTGGAAGGCTGGAATGAGGATCAATGCTGGAGGCCAGCCAGGCAGACAAATCGAGCGGACTCTTAACATCCAGGCAATCACCCAGAAGACAAAAGCAGAGCTGTGCCTGGCTCAAGTGGTAGAGCACCAACCACCAGTGAAAAAGTTCAGGGACAGCTGAGTTTAAGCCCCAGGACCAGTGCACGTGTGCACAGACAGACAGACAGACACACACACACACACACACACACACACTTGCTCCCCTCTCCTCTGGCCTCACGTGTCCGGCTCTTTGCAGGCTGGACAGCTGTGGCCTCACTGCTCAGGCCTGTGAACACCTCTCCTCCAGCCTGGCCACCAGCCAGACCCTGAGCGAGCTCTACCTCACCCACAACGCCCTGGGCGATGCGGGCGTGCAGCTGCTGTGCCAGAGGCTGGCGCTGCCCGGCTGCCGGCTGCGCGTGCTCTGGTGAGAGGTGGTCCCCGCTTCGCTTTCCCTCCCCCTGCCCCGCTTTGCTCTGCGCCCCCCTTCCCCCGGGTGGTAGCTGGCCAAGTTACCTAGAAAACCTACCCATTCCATTCGCCGAGTGCTGGTGCTCACACCTGTAAGCTCAGCCACTCAGGAGACTGGGATCTGAGAAGTGTTGGGCAGGGAAATCCTTGAGACTCCAATGAACCACCAAAAAGTAGCAGTGGAGCCATGGCTCATGAGGTAATGTGCCAGTACCAGGGGAAATAGCTCAGGGACAATACCCAGGCCCTGAGTTCTAGCCCAGGAGTTGCGCACACACACACACACACACACACACACACACACACACACACACACGTCATCTTTGCATGCACGTAACTGCAGAATGCAGACCGCAGACTCAGCCATCTTGTCCCCAGGGCTTGCAGTTTTTCCAGGTGGGGGAAGTCTCCCGGCCCAGGATCAGCAGACCTGGATCCAGCCAGTTCCTCGGGCTGGAATTACAGGCATGTGTGACACACCCTGCTTTACTCCCTAATCTCTCAAATGGGGGCAATTGTAGCTGAGAATCTGGAACTTCTCAGCTGGAGCTCCAAGTCTTATCTCTTACCAACTCGGTGACATTTCTAAGTGGCTCCACTCCTAAGCCCCTGTCTTCTTCTCCAAAGAGAGAAGGAGGCGTTCTAAGTTCACTGAGGCACTTCAAAAAGTTGGGATTACTTTCCAAGGAGGTTGGATGAAAACAGGGGATCATCTTAGGTTTTGGCAGTCTCTCAAAGACTCTTATCAATTGACTGTTTTCACTCAAAGATGGTGCCCTACCGATTAAACCATACAGCTCCCCGTCGGGCTTTTGAGTGGTTCATGAGATTAATGTAACTTGGCCTTCTCTGCTCAGGATGGCTTCGAACTGTGACTCTGGGCCCTTGCTCCATTGAGTAGGAGGGATTACAGGGGTGAGCCCCAGCACTGGGCATGCCACAGATGAGTAGCACCAGGGAAGTTGTGACCCAACCTTCTTTGTGTCCTTAGGTTGTTTGGGATGCAGCTGAACAAATCCACACACAGGAGGCTGGCAGCTCTTCGAAGAGCCAAACCTCACCTGGACCTCGGCTGCTGAAGGCTTTCCTGGGGCAGAGGCGGTGGGGAGGGGAGGAGGGCATGCTTTACCCTTTGCAACCATGCTTACAGGGCTGGGGACGGAACCCTGAGGCTGCCCAGGGGGCCCCTTCGCCAGGAGATCACTTGCTGTCCAGCTAAGCCAGAGACCCAGCTCCCAGGCTGTTATCTATGTTCAGCCAGAATAAACCTTCCTCAAGCTAGTTTGATGTTCTGCCAACACAGCTTGGGATCAGAGGCAGAGGTTTTATTTCTGCCGGTTCTGGGGTTAGAACTGGGGGCCTGGGAGCCTGAGACTTCTGGTTTATGAGTGGCTAATCGGCGTCCCCGGATGTCTGCCTGGGCTGTGAACCCAGAACCCTAGACCTCAGCCAGGATAGCAAGGATTAGTTCTGAGCCCACGGCGCCAGCGAGGCCGGACGGCAGATTGGGGGGCGAGAGTGACTCTGGGAGCAGACCACTGCCATCTAGAGGGCAGAGCCGGAATGCTAGCGCACCGAGGAACCATTCAGCCTGTGTAGGGATGCCACGTGGACAATGAGCCTTGAACTCGAGGCACGTGCCTCACGCCCTAAGGGCAGAGTTCTAAGAACTCAAAAGCCCCTGACTTGAGCAGCTGACTGCCCTTAAGCCGCCATTCCTAGAGATCGGGGTGCTTTCCACCCCTGCAAAGACCAAAGAACCACTTACAAGGGCCAAACAAGGCCCAAACCGGCTTTATTGCTAGCCAGGGTTTACTCATCTATACAAGGCCTAAACTGGCTTTATTGCTAGCCAGAGTTTAACCATCTACACAAGGCCTAAACTGGCTTTATTGCTAGCCAGGGTTTACCCATCTACACAAGGCCTAAACTGGCTTTATTGCTAGCCAGAGTTTACCCATCTACTGATAGAACACCACCAGGGACGCTGATGACGCATCCATCCCGCACATTGCTCGTCAGGCAGAGTAGGAAAGCAAAGACAACCAAATAATCTTTTCAAAGCTTTATTTAAGATCAGGGCACAAAAACTGGAGGCTTGAGTGGGGTGGGGGTGTGTGAATGGGACATGAACTAAACCTTTGCCGAAGCTGGGGCTGGAGGGGGGAGGGTGGAGAGGGATCTTCCGCCTTGTTGCTGCTTTCCACAGCCGGTGACACACAAAATGGAAGCACTTTCCACGCAGACTCAGACAAGTGCCTTCATTTTGAGCAACCACCAGTTGGGCTTGCCACAGGTTCGTCCTAAATGCCTGGAAATCCAATAACCACTTTGAGACAGCCCCCACCCACCAAGGACCAGGAGCCAAGGAACGGCAAGCTCGGGCGCCTGTTATACCCCAAGTGCAGCCCACAGGACGGCAGCCTGAAGCTCATTCAGACCAAGGCACCCCAAGCTGTGACCGCACCCAACCCCGAGCCCGCAGGGCCCCGCGTGGCCGGCTTGGACCACCTTTTTCCTGGCTGCAGCTCGGAACCCACCGGCGACCCTCAAATGTCGTAGCACTTTCTACCTTGATTACAGAAGAGCGCTGCCACATTTGAGTGTCCCAAGGGGCAGTGGCAGGGCGGGGGATCCCGTCCACAAGGGGGGCCCAGGTTACCAGATTGTCGGCCCCGTCCAGATTCTAACCAGACGCCGTGCACGTGGTCGCGTCGCACTTGCCCAGATCGGTGGCACTCAAAAAGTAGCGGCACTTTTTTTTATTACCGGAGAGAAAAAAGTGCCCCCACAGTTTGAGTGCCACAGGTCGGGAGAGTCCACGGTAGGTTGGAGGACGCCAACTCCGATCTTCTACCTGGAAGATAAACACATTGTCAAGATGCAAGGCCCAGGGACTTCAGCCACGTGGGGAACTCCTAGGGCCCAAGGTGGGAGGCAGAAGCAGGAGGACCGGTGGGTAGTGGCAGAGTTCTGGCCAGTGAGGCATGGAAAGCCAGAGGCGAGAGACTTGGGGGTAAAGGGAAGGAAAGCATCGACCCACCAGGGGAGAAAAACCAAGCAGAGGCAGGAAAGGGAGAAAAGCAGGGCGATCGCGGGGCATACTCACGACTTGAAGTCAGGAAGCGCAGACCGAGAGCTGCAGCAGGCTTCGGGCGCCCGCCTTTATATAGGCCCAGGGTCCAGGCCTGGGGGGCTGGGAGGGCTGCAGGCCACACCCCCCACCCCCCGGTCCCGCCCCAAGGCCCGCCCCGCCCCACATCACCTGAACCTGCTGCCAGATCACCTTGAAGAGATTTAAAAAAAAAAAAACCTCCTCCCCCACCCATTAACTACAACATTTATTTATTTCCCAGTTACAAGCTTATTTCTTTAACCACCTCCTCCTCAGAAATACTCTGAAATCTGCAGTTCGGGACCCCGGAGGGATTAGTTCCACAACTTATGGGGTTTACTTAGGAATGCAACCAATTAGAAAATTAAAAAGAAAAACCTCATAACGAAAATCACACACACCTGAAAAGAGAAGAATCTGAGGCCGGAAAAGGAGTGAAAACTGAGATGTTGAAGGGAAATCTAAGGAAGTCCGTCTGAGTTGGGCGTCTGAATAGGCAGTCCAGACCGGGGCCCCTAGGACTGGGCCCCTGCGGCTTCTGCCTATAATCCCAGCTACTCAAGAGGCTGAGGTTTCAAACATGGCGGCTCCCCGCCAGCAGGGGCAGGCAAATCCGTGAGTCCCCTCTTTATCTCCAGGGAACCGCCACAAAGCCAGAAGCGGAGCTGTGGTGCAAGCCTTGAGGGAAACTGAAGGGACAGCTAGCTCACAGCCTATGAGTTCAAACCCCCTATGTACCAGCACAAAAAGAAAGAAAGAAAGAAAGAAAGAAAGGACATTGTGTGGGCCCTCTGGGATGCTGGCAAATGGCGGGGTTCCCTCTCCCCCTAGCAGTGCAGGAAACAGATGCTGCTCAGGTCTCTTCCTCCACGTGTGAAGAGACCAGGGCAGATGGCACTTGGGAGGCTGAAAAGAGGGGATCTGGAGTTAGAGGCCAACCAACCTCAGCCTCATTTTGTCATGCAGAATGTCTTCCCAGGCCACGTGAAGCCTGGAAACCATGTCTGACCTTCTCTCCCCTTGTAGTCCCAGGCTCTGGGAAATGGTTGTCTACAGAGCAGGTAAATCTCCAGAGCACCCCGACTCTCCTAAGGACTGTGGCCCTTGGACTCCCGAAGTCGGGATAAAACCGTAATGACTGGAAGCACCCCAAAATGAGCAGAATTAAAAGACAGAGTCTCGCTTGGGTTAAGGTTGCTGGAGGACATTTTAGTTTCTCCTCAGCTCCCCTCCCCTCTGCTCCAGCGCGGCTCTGCTCTGCCACGAGGTGACTGGAGCGCCGCCACCTCCCCCCCCCCCATCCCAGCAGCTGGGGCCAGCTGACTTAGTTATTCTAGAGATGTAAGCAAGATTAGAGCTGAGTATTACCACTCCATAATTTTTATTTCTTTTATTATTGATTAGGTGTGTGTGAGTTCTAGGGCTTGAACTCAAGGCCTGGCACTATCTCTTGAGCTTTTCTGCTCAAAGCTGAGGCTCTACAGCTTAAGCCACAGGCTCCACTCTTGGCTTTTTTTGGCGGTTCATGAGAGAGTTGAGAGTCTCAGAGCTTTCCTTTCCCTGAGATTACAGGAGTAAACCACTTATCCCTCAAGGCACAATCTGCCTTGAGGTTGCCTTCATCAAACCTCATTTCCCCTCATTGATCCTGCCTCATTTTCCCCTAAAATGACTCAGTTCCATCATCTTACAAGAAGTAGTGACATGAATATCTCCAATATTGGCTTGAAGTTGACTTTTTGAGTTTTCCAACAGCATGCCTCATGTGCTCTCCGGCTTCCCTGCCATTGTTAAAATACTGTACACCTCCTCACTCACATTCCACATTTCTCCTAGCTGCTCCTAGGTCACAGCCCAAGAAAGCTGGCCGGCAGATGGTCAGGGTGGCACAATTGCCCGTGGATGGCACGCGTGTACGCTGTGCTAAATGACAAACACATTTTCTAAAGCACATTCCCACGTGAAGCCTTCCTTTCTTGCCTTTGCTTTGCGGGGGGGGGTGAGGTTTTGGGTGTTTTTTTTTTTTTTTGAATACCGAGTGAAGTAATTGGAAATTCCAGACGACTGAGGACATCAAGGTGGGCTGGGATGGGGCTCTGGCGTTAATTGCTCCGGAAGCCGGAATTTTCTTCCTGCTGAACCGGGCTGCTCCGGTTTGCAGTTGTTATTGTGATGGAAATCAGTGTGAGCTCAGACTCACGTGCGCACAGTACCCATTCCCCAGCCCCAGCGGCCTGCTGGGTCAAAAATACTAGCTACGGTTTCTCTGGAAAGAGCTGCCCAGGTCCAGCACGGAGGCTGAAACCTGAGGATCATGGTTCAAAGCCAGCATGGGTAGGCAAGTCCTGGAGAGAGTTATCCCCACCAGAAAACCAGAAGTGGAGCTGTGGCTCAAAGTGGTAGAGCTCTTGCCTAGAGTGAAAGCGCTTAGGACAGTACCCAGGCCCTGAGTTCAAGTCCCAACACCAACAGAAAAAACTCCGCAGAGTTCTGGAAACCTCCCCTCGCTCCTGGCAGAGTTGTTCTCCCATCACCCCTGTGGGGAGAAGCCATCCTTTGGGCCAGAAAATGGAGGCATAGGCGTGGCCATTTTCCCGGACATACCGAAGGCCAGCCGGCAGGGGTAGGAGTTGCCCGCAGCCCCAGGGACACAGTGACCTCCAGGCCCTCCTGAGATTTTTCTTGCCTGGTTAAAGGGAACAGGAATAAGATCACCCCATCATCCCAACCATTCTGGGCTGAGATCTGAGGCTCAAGCTTCCAAGCTAGCCCAGGCAGGGAAGTCTGTGAGACTTTATCTCCAATAAACCAGCAAGAAGCTAGAAGTGAAGCTGTGGTTCAAGTGGTAGAGTGCTAGCCTTGAGTGAAAAACAAAAAACAAAGACAAGAAAACAAGGGAGAGGCCCGGGATCAACACAATCACAATAAAATAAATAGATAGAAGGGGGCTGGCCTGCCTGGAGGAGAGACCGAAGCGGCTGGGCTCTGAGATCCCGGCCTGCCAATGCTACCGCGAGAGACGCGGTGTCCAAAAACAAACCGAAGACCATGTCAGAGCTGCAGGAGAGGCTCAGGGGCACTGCTGGGTGCTGCCCGCAAGTTCAAATCCCAGTAACTCAGAAAACCCCCCCACCATTTTCCCCTATGTAATTAATCTGTGTGTGAGTTACAATGGTATTCATACACAGAGATGGTAGGAGAGACAGACATTGTTGGCAGGAAGGTACAGGGCATGTGTGTGTGTGTGCACACACACACATGCACACATGCCAACAGCTCCATTTTGGGGGTTTGGGTGGTGAGTCTCACGGACTTTGCTGCCTGCATTGATTTCTAACCCTGATCCTTAGGTCTCACCTTCATGAGTAGCTGGGATTACAGGCATGAACAACTCTGCATTTCAGTATTATTCATCAGATGGGTTCTTTCTCTCCTCCCTCTCCTCCCAAACACTGCCATAGCTACAATAAAATTCTTTAGGAATCTGTCTCTCTCCTTTCCCCAAGGTTTTGAACACAGGGCCTGGGCTCGCTGGCTTCCCTCCAGCGCCCTGGGTGTCTTTTTGTTTCTCCTTTGCTGGGATTGCAGGCGTGTGAGTCGCAGCCTGGAGATGGGGGAGAATCGGCCTCACTTGGTGTGAGGAGCTCGGCAGGCTCCCTTCGGCGCCACCGTCTCCAGCTTCTGCCATCCTGCCCAAGGGTCCATTTCATTTTTTCTCCCAGCTGGGGCAGCCCTAATTTCTTTCTTTTTTGAGGTGGGAGTTTGTTTTTGGGGAGTGGAGTGAGGGAAGGAAGCGGGTCCCCAGCAGGAGCTCGGCCGCCGCCAGGGGAACGGGCTTTTCAGATGTAAATTGCCGGGCCCAGCTCAAGGTCACCCTGGGGGGAGGGGTGGGGGAAGGGTGGGGGGGGAAGGGGACCGTCCCCATTGTCAGACCTCAGGAAGCTCAGATAAGATTTCTCCAGGATTCTTCCTGGTGTTTAAATGTTGTCACATTAAAATAACTTGAGTCAGCCCAGCGCCTGTGGCTCTTTTCTGTAATCCTGGCTACTCTGGAGACTGAGATTTGAGGATGTTGGTTCAAAGCCAGCCTGGGTGGGAAAGTGCTGGAGACTCTAATCTCCAATAAACTACTCTGAAAAAGGCAGAAGTGGTGCATTAAGAAGTTCAGGGATGGGGCCCTGGCCTGGAGTTCAAGCCTTGCAACTGATAATAAATAAATTAATTAATTCAAAGAGTTGTGTTTGGTGGTCACACCTGAGATTCCAGGAACTGAAAGGGTACAGGTCTTCCAAGTTCTAGGTCAGCCTGGCTAACTACAGAGACCCTAATGCAAAAAAGAAAAAAATATCCATAAAAAGCTGCTGGTGAGCTGGGAAGGTGGCTCAGTGGTAGAGTGCTTGCCTTGCATGCATGAGGCCCTGGGTTCGTTTCCTCAGCACCACATAAGCAGGAAAAAAAAGCTGGAAGTGGTACTGTGGCTCAAGTAGTAGCATGCTAGCCTTGAGCTGAAGAGCTGAGGGACAGCGCCCAGGCCCAGAGTTCAGGCCCCATAACCAGAACCCCCCCCCAAAAAAAAAGCTGCCTGTCATGTGCTTGTGCACAAGAGGCCAAGCCTCTGCAGGACCCAGTACAGACAGAAAGCTCTAGAAGGACACTGGGAGCTTGCAGCACACACACACACACACACACACACACACACACACACACACACACACACACACACACACAGAGCAGAGGGGCCCCCAAGTCCTGTCTGGCGTCTTAGAGACGCAGCGATTAACATGGGGACATGGTCACGTCTGTTTAGTATTTCGCAGGCCAGCACAGGCCCCTACCTTGGTGAAATTTGATTTTTTTTGATGGGGAGGAAGCTGTACTTTAGCTTTTTCACTCAAGGTGAGCACTCTACCACTTGAGCCACAGTGCCACTTCTGGTTTTCCTGTGGTTCACTGGAGATGAGAGTCTCACAGACTTTGTTGCCTGGGCTGGCTTCGAACATTGATCCTCTGAGCTGGGCCTAATAAGTAGTTGGGATAACAGGCGGGAGCCAATGTACCAAGCCCTAGGTTCAATTTATGGTTTACTGTAACCGATCCATGCCCCAGATTGCTGTGGCTGAGTCAGCGCCCACTGCCCCGCCCCTATGCACCCCAGGTCCTTGAGGACAAGGTGTGAGTCAGGGCTCCAGGGCTCCAGGCCAGGCTGCAAAATTTGTGGAATGATGAGTTCTGGTCTTGGGGAAGAACCCGAGGGGGAAGCTGGAGGAGGATTGCCACGAGGTTGGGTTGTTTGTGACTCACTCATTCCTAAGACTCCAGTCCCCAAGCCCCTGGCCTCATGTTACAAGCCTGATCAGCACCCAGGTGTTCGGGTGGGGGTTACTTCCTGTGAGACTGCAGATTCACCTACACTGCCTCCTTATAGTTCCTAGCCCAGGCCAAGTAAGTGAGAGTCTATGTGTGTGTGTGTGCACGTGTGCAAGCATGCTCTAAGAAAACACAGAAGACACACACTGATGTGCTAATTACACACACCTACTTTAAGGTAACTTTTTAAAAAAATCAGTCATGGGGCTTGAACTCAGGGCTTAGGCACTGGCCTTAAGCCTCTTTGTGTGCAAGCCTGGCATTCTCCCACTTCTTGAACTGCAGCTCCACTTTTGATTTCAGCCTCCAGAGTAGCTAGGATTACTGGTGTGGTCCCTGAGCACACCAGCTGCTACTTAAAGATAATTAAAAAAAATATATACCAGTTTTTGGTCTTTTTGTTTTTGTCAGGTGTAGGGCTTGAACTCAGGGCCTGGGCACTGTCCCTGAGTTTGTTTGCTCAAAGCAAGCACTCTGCCACTTTGAACTACATGTCCACTTTCAGTTTTCTGGTGGTTAATTGGAGATAAAAGTTTCATGCACTTTCCTGCCCAGGCTGGCTTCAAACTGTGATCCTCAGATCTTGCCTCCTGAGTAGGTAAGATGATAGGCATGAGCCACAGCCCCCAGCTCTACTGAAGAGTTTAGTGGACAAGTAAGTTTAAAAGTCATTGATGCAGCTGGGGACCTGTGGTTCATGCCTGTCACCCCAGCTACTTGGGGGCCTGAGCTCTGGGGATTGTGGTTCAAAGCCAGCCCAGAGAAGGAAAGGCTATGAGAGTCAGGCTCACTTGGTCTGCATAAAACAAACAAACAAAAAATGGAGACACAGCAAACAAACTTGGAAATCTGGGATCCGGTATTTTACTTCGTGGAAATTCCTGAAGGGAGAAAAGAAGCCAACACATAAACCACAGCATTTTCTAAATTTCTGTCCTCTTCCTCCCTGGCGGGCCAGTGTCCTCCAGCCATGGGGAGGCGGAAGGGGGGGGTACATGACCACCTGGGCTGGGAGCACCATGATGCAACCCCAAGTATTTACCCAAAAGCCCTCAGTGCTTTATGGACCCATTTTGTAAGACAAAGGAAGCTGAGAGGTAAGGAGACACAAAGAACAAGGAGGCCCCGGGGGCCTGTACCCATTCCCGTCATCTTTGCTGCTGAGATCTGAGGATCGCAGTTCAAAGCCAGACCAGGCAGTGAGACTCTGGAAGTGGAGCTGTGGCTCAAACGGTAGTAGAGCGCCAGCCTTGGGCAAAAGAGCTCAAAGACAGCGACCAGGCCCTGAACTCGGGCCCCAAGGGCGAGGGGCCGTGTCAGGCAATGGGTAAGATCCAGCCCGGCTTTGAACCTTCGGCTTGGTTCTGGACGCTCTGCGTCTCCCCTGCAGGCCGGGGTGGGGAGCGGCTGCTGGGTAAGCAGAGATGGATGGGGTCCCAGAGAGCGGCGCCCCCAACTCCTGGCCACTAGGACCTCTCTGAGCTTCCATGTGGACAGAGTCAGAGCACCAGGGCCGGGTGGGGCCTGGCCCCGCCCCACTCGGCACCAGGCGCCCCAACAGCCCCAAGCTGCCCAGGGTCTCCAGGCCGGACGGTGTCCAAAGCCAGCAGGGGCAAGGTGCTGCGTCCTGGAGGCGTTGGGCTTGGGACTTGGGGCCTGAGGCCTGCTGGGCGGCCACCCTGTGTCTGGAAACACGTGGCCTGAGACGGGCCCCAAGGCGGGAACCAGGCGCCCCCACTCCAGATGCGGGCCGCGGACCGGAAGTCGCTGTCCCCTGCGTGGTCCCACCCCATGTCTCCTTTGGGCAACTTGTCAAATGGTGATTGGTCTGTTTGAATCGATACAGACCCAACGGGTTGGCTGGTGGTCACTAGGGGGGCGGGGCCCTTCCCCTGGGCAGGACCAGGCGGGGGGCAAGATGGCTAGTTCCTCCATAACCAAACCAGGTTTGAAAGTTACCTAGGGGTGCAGCTCATGGGAATTAGCCCTGTGTGTCAGTTGGCCTGGCTAGTGAGGCCCTGTGCCCACCCCTCCACACACCACCACCACTGGTCACAGCCAGTACACACAGGCACTTGGGAATTCCTGGCAGCTTCCCACACTCCAACCCCAGTCCTGGGACTTGAACTCAGGGCCTGGGCCCTTAACCACTTCAGCCACAGCACCTTTTCTCCGCTATTGATGTGGTACTGAGGAATGGAACCCAGGGCTTCACACATGTTAGGTGAACACCCAATGCCTGAGCCACCTTCCCAGCCCCTTCCTCAGTTTTGACTGAAGGAGACTGGTTATGTGAAGGGGCCTGGCCAGTGCTCATCC